ATAAAGACGTAATTTAGACGTCGGAAATAGACGTAATTTAAACGTCGGAAATAGACGTAATTTAAACGTCGAATAAATACGTAATTTTGACGTCGAAAAACGTCGACGAAAAAAGACGTCTTCTGGTGTCACAGTCTGCACCTCCGAGGGACCCAATTTAAAGGTGCAGAAACGACTTAAAAAAGACGTTTAGACGTCTCCTTGCTCAGTCTGCTGCCAAATCACAACTGCATTTTCAGATGACTCCATTTAGGGGAAATAAACTAATTTTCCAACAATACAAGATTTACATGATTGACAAGAAGTACTGTTAAATCAAATAAATACTTAGTAAGCAAAATTCCCATCCTATCTTGGATGTTCAGTCAGTCGGTCAGATCTCGCGATATTTTGCCGGTTCATCTGCGGAGAGGATACCCGCCCGCTCTCATCACTCTACAGACGGTGAGATGGGGGGAGACTGAGCAGAACCGAGCGAGCGGAGTCACCATGTATCCACAATGCTGGGTAAGATTAACCGTCCGTTTTGGTCGTGCTGCTAACAACAGAAAGTCATGTTAAAAATGCTCCGATGGACTTTTTGTGTAGGAGATGCTCCCGGCGTGAGAGAGGGGCGGGGCTTATGGGGAGCCGAACGGCGGATTGTGGAACAAAAAGATGAATTCTGACGGTCTAAATAAATCAGTGTCTGTTTTCATTTGTTATGGCGATGAACTAAAGTGTCTCTTTCAGGACGAAAGACGGGACAGTGTCCGCGAAGGAGCACAATGCGACCTGAAAAAACGGATTGGATTTTTATATTAACAAAAATTCATAAAACGTGCAGGCTAACTCCTTCAAAGTAGCCTAGCTAACAAACAAAAAAAATGTTCCACGAATAACGTTTTTTTTTTCTTCCCTGCTCGTGTTTGTGCGTGCGTGTGTGTGTGTATGACGCGTGGCAGGGGAAAAAAGGCTTCGTGGATGTTAATTTTCTTCAAACACTCCTTTGGTTTCCGCGCAGGAGGGAGATAAACAATAATTTTCTGTCAGTCAGTTTATGACTGCGGTCAAACCCAGCTTTCACGCGGTTTCGACGCGCGCGCGCACACACGCTGTAATATGGTATGAGATGCGTTCAAACTAAAATCTGATTTCTGAATCATACACAAACCATTTACATCTAAATTAATCTGACGTGAAGCCTGAACGGGACTTGCCCTTTCTAATCTCGGCTGCGTCCACCGCCTAAATTATAAATTATAAGACGTAATTTATCGGATTTCTCTGCCTCAGGCTGGGCTGTAATTATATCTTTCTTTTTTTGACCGTCATATTTCCACATTTTTTTCCAGGCTGGCATCAGCTGAGTGGGAGCCTGCAGGGTTCCCACGGTCACTGTGGGTGACCTGGGAACAGGGCCGGATTAGTAACCCCAGGGGCCCCTGGGCACTGAATCTCACAGCCCCCCCCACCTAACCTCGGACAAACAAACAAACAGCTGTAATGGCGGAGGTAGTGAAGCTCGCCTCTACCTGAGGCATTTAGTGAGGCATTTATGCCTTATCGATCAACATTAAAGCAGAGAAGACCAGCAAAAAAAATAAATAAATCTAAGCAACTAATAACTTAAAATAGTTAATGCAGTGGATGTTTTCATGCCACAGAGTGACACAGGAACACATGTCACAAGAACTCGCAGTGACATTCAGTATGTAAGAGTAAAGTTTACATTACACAAGCTGTTAAACTTCTTTTGGCTTTTCTCTCTTCAGGTGTCTCCACAGCGAGTCATCCTCCTCCATCTCACTCTGTCCTCTGAATCCTCTGTCCTCACTCCAACTACCTCCATGTCCTCTCTAACTGCATCCATATATCTTCCTCTTTGTCTTTTTCCTGGAAGCTGCATTTCTAACATCCTTCTACCAATATACCCACTGTCTTTCCTCTGGACATGTCCAAACCACTGTCCCTCCTCTGGACATGTCCAA